AGGAGGTGGAAATGTGGAGACAAGTTAACGCATTGGAACAGAAGGAAAACATTGACGAAGAAAAGATAGATGGTTCTAGTTCTGTCAGTGTAACGGAGGAACAAGTGACAAAGGAAAACCACGAAACAATTTCAACAGAAGCAGAACAGACGAGTGATGTTCAAGGTGTAATGAATTTACAAGACGGAGAAAAATAGAAGGAATAAAAAAGAAACAACAGATAAGTTGTAGCTGATGGCTGATGTAAACAGGACAGCAAATATGTGAACATCACGTGGGGTAGGCCTACTGGGGGAAGGTGCCCACGTTAAATATACACCAACGCGCTGACAACTGTACGGCCTGATCTATAAAAAAGGGATCTACCGTGGTGTGGAAACCAGTTGTTATCTTAAAACGATATGGAGAGGAAGATTTCCTTCGCTGACAGAGTTGAAGAGATTCAAGAAAAACCTTGTGTAGTAGAATTTCAAGCTTTTCGAGGAAACAAAAATGAATATATCATAAAGGAACTAGTATTCCTAGATTTAAATACAGGAATTGTCTTTCCATTTCTATTTGAACCTCCATTCGCATTTAATAATCTCAACAGCAAAACGAAAGAACCAATAAATAAATTACGAGATACTTCCATTGTATCGATTGGTGTGAAGGGTTTACAAATTACAATTGTGTGTATTTTAAATTTTCAATAAAGAATTTAAAAAAAAAAATCAGCATATCGGTATTCATCCCACTACCGATATGCTGATTTTTTTTAAACCCAAACAACGACCTTGAAAATATCGATCCACCCTAGCTCTGACACGTCACCATGACGTAACCCACTACACCATGTCCTAGGTCACGTGCTAGGTCATGCACCGATGCTTATATAATATCATCCAGTGTAAAAAGGATCCATATTTAGCAAGGAAGTGATGGATATATTAGAAAGACTGGTTGACGGTGAAAGAAGCCTTACCTAACATTTGAACATATTTAACAGTGAAATTAGTTAAATTGAATAGTTTTCTGTACTACAACTAGCAATAAAAAAACATTCAAACAGTTTCACAAAAGGACAAACGATAAACAGAAATACGTTGGATTACAATACAACCAAGAGTATTTAATGAGAGTCAACATTTGCTTTAAATAAATAGTAAATTATAGGGTAAAGAGTGGGGAATTTGTTTTTTTATAGCTTGATCGTTTGTACGTCTAACATTAAGCAATGTGCAATATACCAAATGTTTGTTATTTTAAAAAAATCATTCAAAAACATAACGATTTGAATGAATAAACAAGTCTTAGAAATATAAGGTACTAGGCCTATGTTGCAAATGTGGCACATGGTTGTAATTAGTGGAACAATGATCTGCCCGCATGTACCGCCAACTGTTCACGAAGAAGTAGAAACACTGTGTACATTACTTTTCCATACCAGTTAAATAGCTGATACAGCTTGCAGGATTAAAGTGATATTTTAGTTTAGTTCTGAATTTATGTTTATAATGGTGACATAATAAAATAGTGGTTTTTAATAAGTTTTCTCACAGAAACATTGCAAACCAAAATCCAAACACTTTTCGTAATATGTACATAATAACAAACTTTTCACTTGACGATCTTATAAAATGCAAAGACAAAAGTGGAAATATTTCAATTGCGAATGTTTGCTGTATACCAGATAGCAATCATAAACAGCATAAAAGAATGTGTATGATGGGTCTCTCATTAGTTTGTAGTGGAACTAGCTAAAGACAACATCTCATTAACAAAAAATTATATCGCAAACATTGCAAAGGTAACATGTACAAATAGTTATCTCGCACAGTTTTATGTCGTATATATAGCTAATTTCTCAAATTTAACAAAATTCCTACTATGTTTCCAATAAAAGAAACAAACTTTGAGTGTATAATATGCATGGACAAAAAAATCGTAATTTACTCTTCTTACCAATGCAAACACTGTTTCGCTTGCGACATGTGTGGATGACAATTTGACAACTGTTGTTACTGTAGTAGATCTCCTATAACTTCTATGATCCAAATGTTTAGTTTAGCTTAGATCTGTATTAGGTTTAAGTTTTCAAAACAATTATATTCCTTTTATGTAAATTTTGATTTTTCAATAAAGAATTAAAAATCAGCATATCGGTACTTATCCCTTTACCGATATGCTGATTTTTTTTTAAACCACAACAATAACCTTGAAAATATCGATCCACCCTAGGTCTGACACGTCAGCATGACGTCACCATACCGTAACCCACCACACCACGTGCTAGGTCACGCACCATTACCACCAGATGCTTAACCGTCAATTAAGCACCACATGGCTCTTGTGACGTCACTCCTCAGCAGCCCTATGTATCCACTACTGCCATGCAATGTAATGGGGTTAAAATCTCATCGCACCTCCACTGCCGACTAGTTAACCTTATCACAACTTATCTAGGCTGTTCTTCAGCGAAATGTTAATAAATATGGCTGACGGTTATTTTGTTACATAAATACGCCCGCCGCAGCAAACCTGCAGACTAAGGGAATTTCCATTTGCTAGTTTCCATAAAATTAAAAATTTCAAATAATCGTTGGTTATCAAAAACCAAGTTTGTAGAGCCTGTACACTAGTAATCTTTGTAATTTAATCTTTTACCATGTAAACAAATTGTGATTCATAATAATTTTGCAATGTCCTTTTTTATTTTGAAACAAACATAGTAAAAAATATTACATTTTGTATAAAATGTAGCTTAACCAAAAGTTTGTACATTTCCAGCAGCTCGGACGTGGCATATCAGCAGTTTGGAGACTATAATACTCTGTGAGAGTTCTATAATCCTCATTTTGACGTCATCAGCAAGATTGGACAAAATAATCTGTCCCCAATCCTCCCATACTCAGTAAATCATTATCAAACTAGGATAACTACGATACTTGGGCTGACTGGAATTACTAATATGTGTTGGAACAAACACTATTATAGTTTTAAAAAGTGCATGTAGCCTACCGTGCGTTAAAAAAAATATATTTGGAAAATATTTCAAGTTTATATTTACAAAATGGAGAATCACGATAAGTAAACTCTTAAGTTAATCCCAAACATCAAACTGCAATATTGACTATTTTTATTTGTGCAATTTTTTAAAGCTATTTTTAAAAGGTTCGTCTTGTATTATTAAATTTAGAAAATATTTTATTTATACATCTGGTATCTTCAAAACCGCTTAGAAGGGGAAACTCCACCAAAAAAACTAGGAATTTCAAAAAATGTATCAAATTTCAGTTACTTACCAAAAAGTGTTCTACAGTTCTTCCTGAAAATTTTGATGTATGATATATTATAAATAAAAATATTATTTTATGTGGTGTTATTTTACACAAAAAGTAAGTGCTACACTGGGCCCGTTTGCCTAAAGTTGACTATCACCCCGCAGTGGCGGTTGGCCAAATTTGGCATTATAAGTTTTTTTTGTACTTTTAAATTATAAAAATAAAAAAAATGTTAAATATGTAATATAAATTGTTTTTATTTTGGGGGCGTTCCCCCAACAGAATTGTGTTTCCTTTCGTTTCCGGGGCTATTACCGAATTTTGATTTTCACATACGGTATTTAAAAATACGGGAACGGATGTAACTCAGGTTCTATGTGAGATAATCTAATAATTATTTTTATATTTTGAAGGTTATAATGCATTCTACAAACTGTAGCATGGATTGACACAAATTCAGTTTTTAAATATTTTTGGAAAAAATCTTTTACCCAGAGGGGGGGGAGAAATGGGGCAACCCAATATTTTATTTTTATTTTGATAGCTTAAACAACCAATATTTTTCATATATAAATTATGATTTTTTTTTAAATTTTGGGTGGAGTTCCCCCCTTGTTGACAAAAGATACTATACAAATCAATGATGACACACTGAACTTTTAATGAAATTAAAACTTAAAACATAGTTAGTTAGTACAGTAGTTCGTATTCCATTCTTGCGTATTTATATGTATTGTTCCAAATTTAAAATAAATTGTAATATATAAATATCGAACATACCAAATTACCTGAACAGATTTATTTTCTGTTAAATATTACAGCATCGTTTGAAATTTATGCCTTCAAAACATAATCTTGATGCAATGAGGTTAATGATTGGAAGACTGGAGCGCGATGGGATTTTAACTCTATTATATCGGGTCAAGACATTCTTGTTGTGTGAACTTTCGCTTGTATTAGGTTCCATAAGCCGTATACAGTTTAATGTTACCTTGATTTGTGAAGCTATTTTTTGGAGAAAAAAAATATATACTCTCTAAACTAAATTAATATTATTCTTGGCATTTTCTTACTATGAATAAACAGGCCTGCTTTGTCAGATTGAATAAACATTGATATATACGATAATAACTACTACATGCCTGTTTTCTTAATAAATTTTTATAAAGGTTTCCATAGATAAAGTTTAAGGAAGAAGTTACATATTACTATGTAAACAACAATATATTCTAAATTGTTGTTAAAGGTTCGTAATATATGTGACATAATGATGCTAACTGATGTCGTTGGAACACTTTTATTTAAAACAATTGAATATTTAGGGTAACCCTCCCATCAAAACTACCAGTCCTAAAGAAATATGCCTAAATGAGTAAAATATGAGTCTGCATCAATACTTGTATACACTTCGTAGTATGTCAAATGTGTCATTTAGTATCTGAGTATAAAAATTTAATGCAGTACCGACTTTGGATTTGCAATCGGGGCATTGTCTTAATTAAACCTTAAAAAGCTATTTTTTAATTGCCAATGTTTCTTGGTCGTTTTATCCGTAAGAAGACACAATTACAACAATTATAAACATTCAATCAACTTATGATCGGCATACCGGTACTGCACTTGTTGGACTTACTGTTGTTGATATAGTAGCTGAGTGCACTAAATTAAATAGCACGAAATTTACAAAATCCACAGGGAATTTTATAACCAAAATGTAGGCTATGTATAACTTTAATAATGGGGTAAGTATTCAAGAACAAATTTTAAACGTTGTAGACTTGTGGTTTACTATAGTAACCTAAAGAAATCATAGTAATAAATATCTAAACTTAAATAAATTAAACAATATAAATTTAATTAATAATCAGTAACCTTTCTATTGAGTTTTTTTCATACTTATACAAATACTTAAAACTTTTGTCGTGTTTTATTTATGTTTTTGAAGGTTTCTCGCTTTACAATTGACAAAGGCAACACTGTCACAGATGCAAAAGAGTGAGCCAAGTACGGAAATAGGTCTTGCGCAATTGCTTGTAACTCTGAAGTCTGCTTTAAAGGAAATGTAAACTTTTAAACAACCGAAACTAGAAGAAAGATTGTAATCACTTCAGGCATGTTATCTACGCTTTATAAACTTCGATATTTTGTATTATCATCTAATACACTTACATTTTAAGATATATCTTAACATCAATGCTGTAAAATGCATTAATAAGTATTATAAATTAGTATTGCGGTTCTACATATACAGTGTGTAAATAAGTATGGAAACAAATCTGTATTTTTAAAACCGAAATAGATAGAAATATTCTATTTGTGGCAATAATAGTTAACAAAGATTCCGCAATTTTTCACATGAAAAATATTTTTTTACCCCCCTAACAGGGTAGGTGGTAGGGGGTGACTTATTTTTTTCAAATAGCAACCCCTATTGAGTGACCCCTCATTTTGAAGGGTTTGTCAAAAGAAACACGATGACGCAAATCCGAGGTGAATATCTCACTCCTAGCTAACATGGCGGATATTCCAAAATGGGCTTTTTTTACAAAAATTAAATTTTTCATTACCCACCATTTAGGCTAGGGGTGAAATATCTACCTCGGGTTTGCGTCATTCTTTTTCTTTTAACAAACCCTTCAAAATGAGGGGTCACTCAATAGGGGTTGTTGTTGAAAAAAATAAGTCACTCCCACCCCCTACCCTGTTAAAGGGGTTGAAAAAATATTGTTGATTAAAAAAATTGCGGAACCTATGTCAACAATCAATTCCACAAACAGAATATTTCTATCTATTTCGGTTTTAAAAATACAGATTTCTTTCCATTATTTGTGAAATTGGTGCTTTTCACGTACAATAAATCAAATTTTGGAATATCCGCCATTTGGGCTAGGAGTGAGATATTCACCTCGGATTTGCGTCATTGTGTTTCTTTTGACAACCTCTTCAAAATGAGGGGTCACTCAATAGGGGTTGCTATTTGAAAAAAATAAGTCACCCCCTACCACCTACCCTGTTAGGGGGGTAAAAAAATATTTTTCATGTGAAAAATTGCGGAATCTTTGTTAACTATTATTGCCACAAATAGAATATTTCTATCTATTTCGGTTTTAAAAATACAGATTTGTTTCCATACTTAATTTACACACTGTATAGTAAAGTAACTCCAAGATACATTGCCATGGTATTGTGTTATGGTGAAAAATTAGCACAATATCAACGAGTGGGTACAAAATATGCTATTAAAGTTGTAGTATGTTGATTCATAGTACCTTTATTTTAGACTCATATCTCGATAATGGTTTAACCTATCAAATAAGCTGGTCGAGAGTGTACAGATGTTTATCTACGTAGACCTCGACTCGCCGTATCAATGTCAGGCCCACATCTGATCAGGGATCAAGCACCATCAACATCGTATCAAGTGACACTTGACTGGCCAGCTGTGACAGTGGGTGATTAAGGACTTCTCTGTCAAATATTCTGCTTTTGTTGCATATTGGCTGACGACAAACCAGCCAAATATATGTAAATAAAATATGTTTTGGTATTAATCTAAAAATATCTTACAAATCAGACATTTTAGTCTTACATCCCACAAGATTAAGTTAAAGCTACTTCCACACTCTTCAATTTGTTTTCATTATAAAGCCATGAACAAAAAAAATGTGCATGTGGTTTATGAGTCGAAATGCCACTATTAAATTGCACTGTTGATATTTTACAGCTAGAATTGCCTGTGGTGTTTAATAGCAATATGCTAACTGCATATTATAAATATCGCAACAGGGGTTCCACATTCTTCTGTAAATAACTTTCATCATTTATTATGTATATTGTTTAAATTACAGTTTCATTTTATAATATAAATACTTACTGTTTTTATATGTAGTGTATTGTCCGTAGCGATCCAACACTGAACGCTAGCTATGCGTTCCAATCATGTTAAAATAATCTATAGTAGTTAGCTAAAAAACATTTGTCGGTTACATTACATAAAACAAACCTTATTTAGCTCTCAAACAAACAAAATAAACTCAAACAAGTGTTAAAAAAGTACAGAAATAAATCATGTTAAGAATATTAAACTAGTAGGTTCATATGAGTAATAGACAACAATTTCTACTGGTCTGAGCATGAAAACTAAATGGTTCGTAAAGCATCTCCAGAAATCTTTGTACTGAGACGCCTGTTTAACCCTAGTGAGATAGACCCCGTTTAACCCTAGTGAGATAGACACATTGTTTATTTTTTGCTCATAGGCTACGGAACCTTTATGGGTCAACCGAAAGAAAAACTTTAAAAAGATTATGAAAAATACTCTAATAATGCTAGGGATAGAGAGAAGAATTCAGCCAAGCAAGCTTTAAAAGATCTAGGAATCATAACATGTTTTTACTATATACTATACATTTTTGAGGGTGAGGTTCATAACTCCAAGTTTTCATAACTCCAAGTACTTTTAAATACAACATTTCATAACTCCAAGTAAAGTTATGTCCAAGTAAATTAAAACCAAAATATCATAAGACCAAGTTTCATAACTCCAAGCGTTCATAACTCCAAGATTCATAAGTCCAAGTTAAAATAAAACCAAGTAAATTAAAATACAAAATTTCATAACTCCAAACGTACAGATTTGCAAGGACCACAAGTCCAAGTTTCATAACTCCAAGGGTTCATAACACCAAGTTTCATAACTCCAAGTGACAATGGGTACAGTCTGTGCAGGAAGCGATAACGTACGCACACACACGCACCCATTACACACACACATGCTGGAAGAGAGTTTCCGATGTTGGCGAGATTATTCGAAGTGGTGCGTTCCCTGTCGCTTTGCACGTTCGTCTAAATTGTAATACAAATAGTGAGAGGATGAAATTTACATATTTAAATTCTGCGTAAACTGATGTTTAATACTATATAAATACAATTTAGTTCGTGCAGATGATTAATGTTTAATAATGGAAAATATGAAAAGGTTGTTCAATGTAAACATGAAAAAGTAAGTGAGCGAGGATTTTTTTTATTTTTTGGTCAGATGAAAACTTTCAGCGAGAAAAGTATAGATAATAAGATGTTCTTCAATTTTTGTTCCAAACATTTTTACGTAAGACTTTTAGTTTGTCCAATAATCGACTTAGATGACCACCATGAGGTGAATGAATTAGTTTACGCACACAGTATTTTAGCAATTGCCGTCTTCCAACAACAATATTAAGGAAATACAGTATTAGTTCACGTTTTAAAATTTCTAAACTATGAAAAATATTTAGTCTTAACTTCTTAAGCTGTATGTACGAAATTTCGAAATTTTTTCTACATAATATTCGTGGTGCACAACGCAAATAAGTCGTAGTGCCTTTTTTCCACTATTTTTCATCTCCTATTTTCGGAAAAAATTTAAACAGTATTAATCCAGGTTAAGGTTTCATCTTGTAGCATTCATTTGTAAATATAAAATTTGATTATAGTTACAATTACTTGTTCCCTCATAAATCTTTATTCCGTAACAAATATGAGAGTGTATGTTAGCAAAGTAAATTGTACGCAAAATGTCTGTAGTGCATAATGGGTTTAATAAAAAAATACCATATTTAAAATTTAAAAAATACTATCTAGACTTGTATGATCCAAACAAGCGGATATAATCTATAGATAGGTCTAAACATTTGGATTTCGTGACTAAATTATCATAGAAATAGGTTTTTGAGTAAATACATCTATACCTAATACCAGATTGTTTTATTTGAGTTAAATAGAAGGTATTTATCATTTAGGTATTATTGAAGTACCTTAATGAGTTAAGTACTTTAATATAAGAATTGATGTCGTCCAGTGGTCAAAACTCGACCACAATCCAAATAAAATATGAACTTATCTATATTCATCCCACGCTGAAAATCAAACATGTGATGAGTGTGTACCAGTCTTCAATTTGTTTTGATTTTCTGTATATTTATCGTTGTTATTGCGTCACCAGAATTTTAACTCATAATCCAAATGTTAGTTTTTTGTTTGTGTTAAATTCGTTGTCGTACTTATTTTTCATCAAATTGTCTGTCACAATTTTATTTGTTCAATTGGTGTATTTTTTGTTTAGTTGCAATAACGTTAATTATATTTACCTGAGAAATGCAAAGTTAAAGACCTTCTGTTGTTCAGATGATTTTTGTTTCCCTTAGCATATGAATAATAATTAAAAGCCTTCAGTAAAATGTTGGTAAGGGGCTCTTGGATATTTTCATAGGCTATTATTAAAATTGCTTGACTTTTATGAAAACATAGGTTAATGTCATTGACGTACCAGATTTATTTGGCTTTAGAGGGCTTTCCTCTGCAATGATTACAAAGTTAAGTCCATGTTTCCTAATAAAATTTGTAGCACTTCGGCTAACATCCTCGTTCATAGTTTGTAGGAATCTGAATCTTGTAGGTGTTCTTCATTATACAGGCTAATGACGATAGTTAATTCTTTAAAAAAATATTATCTCTATTTCTTCTACTAGGGGGCGTTCTATGACTTTTAATGTTTCAATAATTTGCAAATGGGTTCTTTCAATGATTTATTTTTCAAAGATTTAATTTTTGTAGGACGCTTTTCTTTGAAATGCAGTTTAAATATTGACAGCAATTAAATTATACAGCTGATCAAAATTTAAACAATTATGATCTTCATAAGGATAACATGGGAACCTTCAAAGCCACTGGGGTAGAGCCCAAGGGACTTTTTCAAATCCAGTTC